ACAAGGCTGTCTCTTTTAAATCATTCAGGTTTGGCATACGGGATCGATTTGTTCTGTTATAAGGGTGCCCATTTGGCCCACTCTTGGCACCCAGCTGTTCAGAGTAGGAGGGCCCCTCTGTGGCACTCCTGGTCACAGAGGACACATGCCAACCAGGGTCCATCTGACCTGGCAGCTGGAGGGCTGGCCTGCCCTTTGGGGTGGGCTCCTGCCGGATGTTGCTGCTCCCACTTGAGGCTTGGCTCATGGGGTGAATTCGAATTTCAGTGAAGGAATTTTTGGCTTGTTGAGTTGTTAAGGGCTGAAAGCGAGGATCCGAGGGAGCTGGGTGATTTGAGGCTGAAGAGAGATGTAACAGCTTGCGCAGTGATTTTAATGGCTGGCTCTGAAATAAAAGGAGAGGGTGCATGTAGAATTAAATTGAGAGTAGATCATAGAGCTGGGAGAAGATGTACTTCAGATCCAAGATGCTGTCATGAAGCCAGGGAGGGATGGTATGGGGACAGGGTCAAGTGGCAAAAAGTCCAAACTTGTCTCTCCTTTTGATTATATCCTTCCTTTTTTAAAAAAATAAAATAAATAAATAAACCAAGAGACAAAGGTGGAACATCCCAAGCAGCAGGAAGCCGAGAGAGAGCAAAAGAAGGGCTGGGCATCCTCTCTGTCCGGAGCAGACCTCCCCAGAGCTCGCCTTGGTGCTTCCACTTACACTATCATCTCAATACCAGAATTTACCATTATGACTGCATCTAGATGCAAGAGAAGCCGACAGATAACATTTTAGCTGAATAAGCAATGTAGTAAAGCTCAAATCTTACATGCCTTTATTGCTCTTAGAGTCCCTGGTTAGTGCAGATGGTCAATACAGTGGGATGTTAATGGAACCTTCAAGTCCACCCAGAAGTGGTTCAGAGGCCTGGCAGTCTACTTCTGCACAATCAATCACATGAACACGCAATACAGTGTAGTTTTATTGTGACACACATGCCATGAGTTGATGTTGACTTGAGGACACTGCCAGTCATTCTCTGTTCTCATCTCAGTCTTTCCTATTCCTTTGTATTACAAAATCTTAAAGTTCCTTTTCTGTACTTTTACTTTCTCAAAGGGGGAGGTAAGGTTTGGGCAATAAAAATGCAAAACAAGCAAAAACCGCAATGAATGTAAAATACGTCATTCATAGGAGATCTTCAGTTCTTAAATTGGGATCACAGCTCTCCTGTCTATCTGCTGGGTAGCTGCCGGCCAAACACCCTGTGAACGCTGCACTATGGAGGCAGGAGGCAGAGGCCTGGATATGGTTCTGTCCCTCACTGGCCACAGACTACACACAAGTCCAGAGCCTTGGGCTTCTCACCAGTTAGAAGCGGCTCATTCCCAGCTCCTGTGTGGGTTGCAGAGAGGGCTGCTATCAGAAGAGGTGTGCAACTCAGAAATTTGGGGCTCTCACCACATGCTGACTATTGGATATTGGCACTAGTTCTAGGTGCAGCCCTAGCCTTGGGCACTGCTGACTATCAATCTTCAGAGCACCTCTGCTTCAAGTGCCATGGTACAGAGACATGTACTAAGGGCAAAGGAAAGTCTTAACAAAATATTAAAGATCTCACTGAAAAAAAAAAAAAAAGATCTCACTGAACATTACTATAATTGAAGGACCAATTTTGTTCTGTGATGCAATTCTTGCAATCCAAAGCCATCAGTTTCTGAACTGACCCAACCAGGTCCTGGTATTCTCCATCACAACTCCTGTCTTTTGAAGAAAGCTTTGTGGTTCTCACAGGACCACAAGTGCGCGTGGTCCGCTGCACACTCTAGGCAGCACATACATTCCTTTTTGTAAATGGGTGTGCTAGTGCAATGAGACTCGTGGTGATTTGTATGGCCCTGACCATATGGAACTGCCAAGCAATACCACACATCTGGATTGTGCCGAAGATACAATGGTACCTAAGAAGAGCTTCCTGCCCCCCCCCAAACGGCTCTATAATGAACGTTTTAAAGTTTCATCTTTCTCTTCCCATCGGCCTCCTCCCATCCCTGCTTTAAAGCGGGGCTAGATCTTCAATTGGGCCCTGCTCTCAAAGCTTGGTGCTTTTAAGTCAGATCCACACCCAATAAACTTGGCTTATGGTTCTCGACCCTACTCTGCTCCACCTCTATTACATTGTTTTTGGTGTTGTTGATTGCCATCCAGTCGAGAATGACTCATAGCGACCCTACGAACAAAAGGCCTGAAGCCTTTCTATAACTAACCTCATTTATCAAAGTTCATAGAATTTCCGGAGGCATGCTGTTTAGGAAGTAGATGCCACTCCTGCTTCCAAACTCCTCTTAAACTGGGAGCTCCACGGGTAACCATTATGGCATTTGACTCCCAATGACACAAGGTTCAGCATCACAGCAAACTCAGGTTACCTCTATTGACAGAAGAGTGCTGCACCACTTAGAAGAATGATCCTCAAAAATAATAACCGACTTTTAAATACAAAGGCCCTCCTCAAGGTCTTGTTGACTCTAAACAAGAGGCTTAAATTAAAAAACGACCATTATTGTATGTTGTTGTTGTGTGCCATTGAGTCGCCTGCAACAAATAGTGACCCTATGTACAGCAGCTCTGAACCCCTCCCTATCATGAGCCAGTCTTCTGATTACTATTTCTATTACATTAGAGACAGAAAATAGAAATGATTAGGGATATAGAATGGCAGTTTGGGGACACCATGTTAGTCTAAGTAACAGCTTGTAGGCAAAGAGAGAAAAAAGAAAAACTTTAAAAAGTGGCCCTACTCCTCCTCTCAATCACAGAGATCTTTGATCACTTAGAAGTACAAGAAACCCTACTGTAGCTAAAGGTCATGTGTGTATCTAAAATGATAAAGAAACCATCAATTAACAAAATTAATATGTAGCCATGCTTATTACAGGGCACTGAAAAGGATACATTAGAGTATTTTTAATAAAAAAATAGTTGCTTATAGGAGGCAAATCTCAGTTAATCTAAAAAATGTTCTGATTTGATTGTTGTTTTATGGTTCTATGGGCATAATCCACAGCGAACTGAGCTGCTAACTCAAACACAGAAGACCTCTGGCAGTCTGGGTCCACGGCTGCTTCGTGGGAGGACAACGGGCAATTTCCTCTGGTGTGATTTACAGCCACTGAAAACTCACGAGAGGATCTGCTATGAGTTGGTTCGGATTCAATGGCAATGAATGAATTGACTTTTACTGAATAAATGCAATTAATGCAGCAATTGTTCAATATGTAGTCAATAACACAGCTGTTGGCCTGTTTTTTATCTGAATGAGTACAGCTTTCAGAAATGTCAAGAAAGTTTATCCCATCTGTCTGTCAAGGTCTAATTTATATTCTACCACCTTTAATGGAACTTCAATCTTCCCATAATCTTCACTCATCCTCTCCCCTTTATGCCATGCTTTGCTTTTTACCACAAATGGCTATTTTTGGATCTTTTCTCTCTCCTATCCCAGAGAGCATTTGTGTGCTGGGATTATGTTTTATTCATCCTCCCTCAATCCTCTACTTGCCCAACCCTACACTAATGAAAGTTAACTATTTTCTAGCAGCACACATATCATATTAGAGACAGAAAATGGAAATGATTAGCGATACAGAATGACAGTTTGGAAGATTCCCTGTTAGATACTCTTATACTTAGAAAGGCAAAATTCATTCCAACTCCCAAAATGCATCTGCTTATTAGTGAGAGTACATTCTGGAAGCCTCTCAGTCTTGGCTGTAATACTGAAAACACTTAAAAAATAAAACAAACAAAACCATGTTGCCACTGAGTCAATTCTGACTCATGGTGATAGTGATGGGGCAGAACTGCTGTCCCAAAAAGGTTTCCATGGCTATGACCTTTACAGAGGCAGACTGCCAGGCCTTTCTCCTATAGTTCCACTGGGTGAGTTTGAACTAATCTTCAGGCTAGCTGTCAAGTGCAAACCATCTGCATCACCTGGGGATCTCTGCGGTAACATTAAGGCTACATTTTCTCAACATTGGGCCGCATCCCAGCCGCCTAAACGGAGAGAGCCACTGTAGAGTCTGACAAGCTAGGATGATAAGCCTCACTCACTTGAGTCTGCAGATCTGGGATCTTCTCAGGACGCCACTCCTTTGGTCTGCTGCTCGGGGTGCTAGCAGCGTGAATGGCTTTCTGTAACGTCAGAAGATCTGGGCCATCAGAATTGGGCACCTAGAAAACAACAGGGACAGAGACTAAAAAACGCACACAAAGTTCACTATGCTGTCCAACCACACCCAAGAGGAAAACAAACTCCAAAGCAAATAAAACCAAACCAAAACTCAACCAAAATGAACCAAGAAATAAAAGGGCCCACTAAAAAGGAAACTAAAACTCTCCCAATAGTCACAATGCAAGTGATGCTAGTTCAATTCTGCTGCCTTCTTAATAATTTTCCCTGCATTAGGAAAAATTGGCAGATGTCATGCAGCTGTATTAAAACCTCAACCATTAAAGCATTCCCATGCTGTTAGTTTTAGTCGCTGGAAGAGAGAGCAGTTAAATTGGGCTGTACCAGAAGTTGCTGTTGTAGCCTCATTCCACATTGTAGTTAGGTTATGAACCAGTTCAATAAAAAAAAAAATGCTGTCCTGCTGGGAAAATGATCCAAACACTGTATTTAGTGGGGCCAATGGAGTCTAGTGGGCTTTCGAGGAGAGCAACGAGGGAAGGTGTGGTTTGAATCATATTCCCAAAACACTGCCCAGCACATTTGGATCTAGTATTATGGAAGATGCTAGAAATTTGTGCAATTTTTCAATTCACCAATTTTTGTGAACACCAGAGAGGAAGGCCCAATGCCAAGCAAAAGCCCTGGCTTAAAGTAAAGCACTAGCAAAAGTTAGAGCCCAGGCAAGAAAAGGACAAATCACCATCTACTTGAAGCTGCTTTTTCATGGAGCCTGCTAGCTCACTCAATTTGGCCAATTCAACTTGGTTTCAAAGAAGCAAACTGCAAACCAAGTGTTCAACTTTGTGAGCCAAATGAAAGGATGTCTACTGATTGGATGTATTAATCTAATTCTTCATAGGAGACAAGGGATTTGTGCTATCTGCCAACAACTGGCAAATCAGACAATCCAAACTAGTCTTTCACTAGTTTGTTTAATAGCCTCTTTAACTGATTCAGAAAAATCCAGAATGGCAAACAATTTATAGCTAAGCAAATTTATGGAACTGGCTCAGGTACTTAACTAGCACAAAGAGAGTATGACCCCATGAAAATAAAAGACATGCTGTTGTCATCAGTAAAACAAGTTTACTGGAGCAGTTTTCAGGGCTACCATACGTAAAAATGGGTACCATGGGTGGAGTGACTACAGGAAGCTTTTTCAAAGAAGAACTATGCTTTAAGTGATTCTTTGAGTTAAAAAGAGGAAAGAGGGATTTCTTGATGCTTGGATTCTCCCCGTTGGTGGAATCTGTCTGCAATATAAGATACAAATAAACTAATTGCCAAAAAAATTGCTTTTACTGAAAATACCAGCCCTTGGAAGCCCTCTAATCATTATTACCAGTCATGGAAACATCTCTATGTTGGGCATCTAGAAGGGTTCTTTGCCATTTGTCACCTGGACACAAATATGCCAATAAACTTAAGACATACACAACTTCTGACTACAGAAAGAGTATGTCATCACGGGTAACACCTACAGAAAGGGTGTCCTGAGACCTGCAGGCAACTACTCAAGTTAAGCTTACAAACCATTTAAAGGTTTCTTTCTTTATTTATTAGCAGAAATGGGATTATAATAAAGAACTGTATTTAAAGAGAAATGTATGAACTTTATCCTTTTCCTAATTGTTAAAGACAACTTTGGTAAACTCAAAATAGCCATATAAATTTCCTATTAGGAAAAAAAAAAGATACAGTCTTTGATGAACTTGGTCAACTTTTGAGCCAGAAAACACCACTTGACAGAGAGCTATAACTGGCGATATATCCTGCGATCCTAGTGTTGGCTAAGAAGTTTTGCTCTACATTGTGAGAAATATTTATCCCATGGAAAATATTTGGCACAATTCAGAGTACTGGTTTTCAAGTTGAAGAAACAAGTTCAATTTCATTTCCAGTTGAAATGCAAACTAACTAGGATCCAAAGATGGCAAAATCACCATATGCTCTGAAAGGTTTATGTAACTCTCCGGATATGTAACTGAAGCCAGATTTCCCAAAACAGCATCCAGATTTGCTTGAGTCAAGCCAGGCACCTTTATAACACAGAATTATTTTCTGGGCATCACTTTCCCCATTTTGTATATCTTGTCATAGAATTAGACTGTATATATGGTGGTATCCAGATATTTTTTTGTATGAACACACCAAGACATTAGAGTACAATATCCCATGATTTTCCAATAAAAGGATTGCTAAAGAGGCCAGAAGACAGTTTTCAGGAACACACAGCCAGAGGGTCTTCCCAGAGGTAGGCCCAGGGCATGGGCTGAGCCTGGAAGAGGAATTCAGGAGAAACCAGTTCTACTTTGTCCTAGTGATTATGTGACTGAGCAGACCACAAGTGGTATGAGCTCAGTTCCTAACTTAGTCAGATCAAGGGGTTGAATGAAATTTAAAATCCACCTCAGCTTTAAAATTTCATGCTTCTCTACTTGCCCTGGGCATCCAAGTTTAATGTCTTTGAATTTTATGCAAAGGCCACAAGGTCTTAAACTGTACAATACTCTTTCTTATTTTTCTCCTATAGAGTTGTAGAAAATGAAAACCAAAATCATTTTACTTTTGTTTACTTGCTCACTGAAAGAAGGCTGAGTTACCCAAACAGCCTTACGAGCCTGAGATCTGGCATGCTCGGCTTAGTGTCCTTTGCAAATCTTACTCTCAACACTAAGGCCCTTAATTGTTTTCACCTTTTAATTTAAAAAAATATAAAGGTTTAAATAGTAATTGTTCTGAAAGGCTTAAGGCATTATGGTCTGTTAAGACACATTTTGTAGTTAATTTACAAATTATAAAAAATGAAAGAGCCATAAAAAAATAAATTCAAGTTAAAATAAAATTGAAAGGATGTTACATGTTGCCACTGAGTCAATTCCAACTTATAGTGAAAGAGTAGACAGGTGACAGAAGCTCTCCAAGGCTGTATTCTCTATGGAAGTAGATTGCTAGATCTTTCTCCCGTGTAGACACAAGGTAGGTTCAAACTGTCAACCCTGTGGTTAGCAGCCAAACACTGGGCTTTCTGGAAAAAGATTCTAGGTGATAGATATTTTCTTATATCCTCTTACTTATACCATCTCCAACCAACCAATTCATTGCTGCCGAGTTGGAACTGACGCACAGCTGACTCACCGATGGGTTTTCAGTGGCTGTAAATCATGTGGGAGGAGACTGCCCAGCTTTCCCTCATGGAGCAGCTAATGGATTTGAACCTTCTGCCCTTAGCTGGCAAAGCAACTCCTTACCCAAAAGGCCACAAGAATACCCTATGCCACCTAGACATTTCAAATGCAGACTAGATTTTGAACAATAGTCAGTCAGCCTGTATACAGCCTACTTATGGCCTGGTGATCCAGGTGCGGTAGGTTTAACATTGGTCTAATGCAGACAGAGACCAAAAGCTAAGTCTCCACCTCAAAGCACCTTCAACTCTTTGATCCTTTCTAGTTGCTATCACTACATCTCCACACTGTGGCTGAACACCAACCTATGATTAGGGATAACAAAAAAGCCTTGCAATAAAATGACAGTGCACAGGGGAAGATGGCCTCAAATGAACGTTCATAAAAGATAAGGATGGTCTATAGACAATGATAAAAGCTTTCTTTTATTAGCACTTGGAATATTTTAAACTTCCCTAGGTTAAACCAGGTCTATTTCATTCATCTTGTCTAAATAATAAATGCAGTAATATTTAACCAACCAGCACTTTAATTTGACACTCTAAGAGAGTTTTGATGAGAGATATAAGCAGGTGTTTTGTTTTTTTTAAATGAGAATTTCAGAACTATTACACAGCCATTATAATGTAAACAATAATTTGTGTAGTAACTTACATATTGTGCTTGTGTTATCACATATGTTATAGCTATATATAGACATAGGAAGCAGGAGCGGCATCCACTTCCTAAACCACATGCCTCTGGAAACTCTATGAACTTTGATAAATGTCGATAGTTATAGAAAGGCTTCAGGCCTTTTGTTCATAGGGTCACTATGAGTTGCGTTCAACTCGAGGGCAATTAACAACAACAACAACAACATATAGGAATAGGTATAATATTAAAGGCTAGGATAAAAATTTGCATTAGACATAATTATTATTAAAGACAAACTAAAAAGCCTTTCCTTCCATAAATACATGCATAAGCTAAAAAAAATCAGAAGAAAATACACCAACATCCTAAAACTGTTGGCAGTAGTGGGGTTAAGATAAAAAAAAAATAGTATTTTTCTTTTTCTTAATTTTTCTTCTGTAATGAACTCATAACTATTCTAAAATGAAATAAACTTCACAAAACAAGCAAGTAAAAGAACATTCTAGATAGATAATCCAGAAAGGCTTTGTTAATATTTTGAAAGCATTTGTAAGACAAAAATCCTTACTTTGGGTAACTATGTTATTATAACCTCTCTCACCTTTACTTACCATGAAGTCACAATCCTAGAATTTGAACATTGAAAGGACTCAGAAACGCTGAGTTCACCTCTATCCATTTTAGAGATGGAATCATGAGGTGTGTCTGAACAAGACATTTAGAGTATGTTTTTTTCCTTATGAAAATACATTCAGTGTTATGAAAACTAGAAACAAAGCCATTTAAAGTGACTAACTCAACCTTGTCTAGTCTAAAAGATGCTACGAAGTGGAGGGAAAAGAGGTCTCTTTTGGGGTGAAAAATGGTTCCTCCACTGTCCTGTCAGTGTGGCTTACCATGCGCTATTTGTCACTAACTAGCAGGACTCTGCTCGGGTGGGTCAATGAAGGGATGTGCACAACCCCACGCACTCGCTCCTCCCTACGTGCAGGCAGAAGGGTCTCTGAAGATAAGGTACATTCTATCTCATGGTTCAAAGATGTTCATGTTTCTCCAATAATGCAAGCTTTGAAATCACAAATAATCCTCTCCTCTCTGGGACTGGACAGCTCAGAAACACACTTAGCAATAAGGGAATTTTACAACCGGTCACTGGAGAATAAAGAATGATAATTATTTATGCATGTCAATATTTGAGCATAAATCTAAACCTTTTCTCATGCTCATGCTTCCTATACTCTAAACACATGTGAAGAAATAAATTTGGCAGATTAATAATTTTTATATGAACAATGCACTTGGATAGAAAGTTTATTCAGGGAGTTAAAAGGATAGTTTTCTCCCAAATTAATCTCTTAATTCTGCTGAATTTAGAGAGAGAAGGACAGTTGTACAGAATTTCAGAGTCTTATCTAATGTTTCTTTCTCAAGTCCCAAAAATACCCCAGATAATTTTTATAGGTGTGTACAAGTGTAAAATGTTCACAGAATAATGCCCAAAATATATGCCATGGTATACAGAAACAGGCCTTCTACTTACTGTTTGAGATTTCTTCTTTTTCTTTTTCATTGACCTGAAAAAACCTTGCTTCTCCTTTTCCTTGAGTTGCTCAGAATGACTAATACTTTCAGGACTTTTCCTAAATGGGAAGACATTTTTATCATATTTCAATCATTCTCTTACCATAGGGCACATAATAACGAATACTGAAAATGTAAGACACCAAGTTCAAACAGCCACAGAGAATCCAGTTCATGTGTAAAAGTGCTCTCAAAAAGCCCAGAAGGAACTGTAGTTAATGATTCACAGCCATGGCTAATGATTCTCCATCCTTTGGCAGAGCTCACTCAAGCTAGTAATTTAAGCATTATTTAAAATGATCTGTAAGTCCTCTGCAGAGTCATTGCCATGCTGTGGGAAGTCTTCGGATCAGAGATTCTGAAAAGGGCTTGGTTTCAAAGATACCTCTTCTGTAACCTTCCAAACAGCAGAAATGTTTTCAATATTGTAACTCTCCAAGGATATGGCAGAAATACTTCTCATACTTTCATTTTCCCATTTATCTTTTAAAAAGAACAGCTTAACAAGATGGTTTATGGTCAGTTAGCAATGTATCACATTATCAAAGATAAAAAAAATTCAATGCCTTATATTTTTTTTAAAAAATCACTGCTACTACAGAAATATCAGAAACAAAAGTAAAAACAATTACTTGAAAATTTCTTTATAAAAGTTTTCTCTCACTCTAAGTTACTAAAAGAGATTAAAATGTAGACAAAATGAATGCTTCAATACAAAACACTCATGACATTAAGTTGAGTATCAGGTATTTTAATAAAAATAGAAGTTATTAAAAGACAGAAAACAGGATAACTTGTTCCCTATAAATTAGTTATTTTTACATTAAAATAAAACACTTATATATTATTTAATTTACAGTTTTTATAAAGCAATTCAACGTGTTTTTTTTTTACATTTGAAAATCTACAAAACTGTAGAAAGTCATTTTCCCAAATGATTAGATTTCTTCTATTAGCTAGTCTTCAAAATCAACAGTGGCAGAAACGTTAAAGATGACAGGGTTGGTTCTTACTTATGGTTTCGGGATATCTAACATAGCTAGTAGAATATTTTTTTAAAACATGAGCAAAGTCATATCGTACCTTAAGTGATTAAATCTTTATGAAGACTGAAAACATCTATATGAGCAATAGCTGAGTCACATCTCACAGAACACACCTGAAGTCTGTCTCAGATTGAACTGTGTCCCTCCTAACTATATGTATGTTATGTCCTAGCGTAGTTCCTTGGCACCAGGGAAGACCTAGGCACACGGAGATCTCCAAGGAACATCAGGACTGAGGCTCCTGACGGCGACGCAGACCTTCCTCCATACTCATCAGAGAGAGAATGCCTTCCCTACACCCACTGCTCGCCTCCTAAACTGTAAGAGAACACAATTCTGTTTGTAAAACCATTCACTTATGTTCCCTCTCTTACAGAAAGCATAGATAACTAAGACAAAGTGAATAAAAAGTAGCCATATTTTAAAAGAATAGTCAAAAGAGCTCTGGTGGCCTAGTGGCAAGAAGCTGCACTGCGATCCCAGAGGTGTGCTGTTTGAATCCATCAGATGCTCTACTGGAGAAGGAGGGGCAATCTCCTCCTGTACCAGTTGGATCTGATTTGACGGCACACACACACACAAAATAAATTTTTAAAAAAGAATAGTCAAACTATAATACAAAGTAAAGAAAGCAGGATTCAAAATTTTCTTCATGCTGTTACACAAACTGTATTTACAAAGGTATATAAAAGGGTGTCTCTTATTTTAGGTATAAAGATTGTTTCTATTTGGTGCCACTGAGTTGACTACGACTCCAAGCCTCCCTATGAACAACAGACCTGAACCCTGCCCTGTCCTGTGCTATCCTTATCTTCCCTGTCTTGCCTGAGTCCATCCTTGTAGTCACCGTATCAATACATACAAAGGTGCAAAGGTGCAGACATGGATTTAAAAGAAAACATCTTAGTAATTATCATCACTGAGTTGTGAAATTATTGCTGACTTAGTTTCTTCGTTATAATTTGAACAAAGAAACATGTATTGCAGATATCACGAAAAGGTCTTCTAAACCATAGAAAATGTCTCAGGACCAAGGGAAATGATTTCAAAGAGAGAGAGAACCAGGAAGTAAAAACCTATGGCTAAAAACCCCCAACAACCCAAAAACAAAAACAGAACCCCAACAAAACCACAAACCTATGGCTGCTTGATAATTTGGAGCAATGATATTTTCTTCTGAAGTGTTTGGCTTAAAAGTTAATGAGAATGCCAAGGAAGTAAAAACAGGTACTGGAGGTCCAAGAGTTTCTGAAACTCATTAGGAACTGCAATTTTAAATGCTGAGATAGGGCCAGATTCTGAAGAGAAAGTTTTGGTAAAATAGAGCCAATAAGGTGACTAGTGCTGGAACACAGAATGAGGATGTGTTTCCAGTTTTGGAATGTAGCAAACTTCAGATATGCTGTGACGTGTGGAATGGAGACTTTAAGTGCGGCGTTGTATCGTGGGATACTGTTCCTTCCGGGAACAGACTGGACCTAAGCCTTGGTGTTTGAAATTTCTGAGGGCAAGGATCTGGGATTAAGGAGATGCAAGCCTCTTCCAGGAGGTCTGAAGACAGGCTGGATTACACTCAATTTCAGTCCAGTGAGGGCTCTAGGGACCACAGCACAGCAGTTCCTGAGCAGCGTTGCTTGCTCGAGTCACAAAAGCATGAATATAAGGATTAGCAGGAGCCTTTGAGAACAGTTAGTTCAACCAGTAGGACTCTTCAATGTTCTGGAAGTTCGAGAGGTTAAAGAATGTGCAGGCTTATGCTACAGCTTATGCCCTTCTAGAATGTTTACACATACCCTAGAAGTGCAGCAGAATGCTCAGATTTACAGGGAGGTTTGGCAAGCAGAATAAAAGTCTAAGAAAACATCAAAGGTTTGCCAAGGGTCAGCAGTGAGAGTGTCTCTGTCAACAAGCCAGTCTCTGAGAAGGATGTGAGCAGGTCCATCATGACCATGAGCACGGCCTAGGAAGCTGCCCGGGCAGTGCAGGGAGAATGCTACTGGGCATCCTCTGGGCAGGAATCCTGGGGAGAAAGCAGGGTTCCGGATGGCAAGAGGAGAGCCCATCCAGGATGAGAGACAGTGGGAAGAAAGAGAGGAGTTGGGGGTAGGTCATTTGACAGAAGAAATTATGCACTCTCTCTGTAGGGTTTGCATTTTACCATAATCTGAAACATAGGGAAGATGTGTTAAAGACCCTTTGCTGAGTCTTTAACAAGGTGGCAGGCCAAGACTCAGGCAGGGAAAGATCCCAGAAGCCATGCAAGGAGAGAATTTCCCTTATGTGAGAGGTTTAACTTTCAGGTGGAGAGAGAGAGAGAGAGGGAGAGAGGGAGAGAGGGAGAGAGGGAAAGAGGGAGAGAGAGAGCAAGCAAGCACAAAAGACAGACGGAAGACAGAACAAGTTCAATGAAGAGAGGGATGGATGACAGAAGAGAGAAAGAAGAGAGAATGGAGACAGACAAGGAGAAGCTGCTGCAAAAAAGCAAGGGATAGAAGCCTTAGAAGAGACTGAGCAACAGGAAGGGAAATGGGGAGCTGCTTGGATACAGGCATCTGAAAAGCCCCATACTGTACAAAGTAATAGAAGGACACCTTCATGTTGGCATGAACTGGTCCTGAACCAAACAGGGAGCTCTGGCGACTTGCTCTGTAGAGAGCGGCACTGCTTGCCAAAGGCCAAATCTCCATAGCTGGTACAATCCACCGGTGGTTCCCAAAGGAGAAAGATGGGCCAGCTCCAGCACAATTTACAGCATCCCAAGAATCAGCTGCACGGTCAACTCTGAGTTGCTGCTGACTCCACAGCAATGAGAAGAAAGAGACACTGAACTGAATGGGCTAGAGATCATTTATAGATCGTGGTCTCAGACAACCAACAGCTGTCTGCCCAGCTAAACGTAGAGGCCTCTGCCAGGTCTCAGAGGAGCAACAAAGGAGAAGAGCAGGAGTAGAGGCTGTGTGTTCCGGACCATCCATTTCTTCTCTCCAGTACATTATCTGGAGTGGCAGCTCTGGTAAGAACAGATAGGGGTGGAAAACTATATGTAGAAAACTCAAGCAAGATCCACATCTCACTCCATACACAAAAAAACAACTCACAGTGGATCAAGGACCTAGTGCTAAAACCAAGGACTAGAAACTTCATTAGAGAAAAGCTTGGAAGAACCCTAGAAGTCCTAATCCACAGCATGAACAGTCTTCCAAGCATTCTGAAAAATCAACAACCAGGAGAGCATAAAATAGATGAATGGGAGCTTCTAAGAATCAAACCCCTATACACATCTAAAAACTTCTCCAACAGGGTAAAAAGGGAAGCCATAGACTGGGGGGGGGAAATATTTGGCAATAACATGCCTTATAAGGGACTTATATCTAGAATTTATAGAATACATGAGCACCACAACAAGATAAACATCCCAACTGAAAAACAGGCACAGGATATGAACAGACACTTCACCAAAGAAGACATTCATATGGTGAAAAAACACATGAAGAAATGTTCAAAATCCCTAGCTCTAAGAGAGATGCAAATCAAAACAACTTGAGATATCATCTCACCCCAGTCAGAATAGCAAAACAGAACAGCAAGCAACAAATGCTGGTGAGGTTGTGGAGAAACTAGAACCCTTATTCACTGTTGGTGGGAATGTAAAATGGTGCATCCACTCTGGAAGGCAGTATGGCGCTTTCTCAAAAAGTTGCAAATAGACATCCATTTGACTCAGCAATCCCACTACTGGGACTATATCCTAAAGAAACCAGAACTGCCACCCAGGCAGGTATATGCACACCCATGTTTATTGCTGCTTTGTGCACAATAGCAAAGAGTTGGAAACAACCCAAGTGCCCATCAATAAATGAATGGATAGAGAAGTTGTGATATATTCACACAATGGAATACTATGCTGCATTGAAAAGAAGGAACTAATGAAATATTACACAAAATGGGTGACCCTGGAGGACATGATGTTGAGTGAAATATCTCAGTCATAAAAGGACAAATACTGTTTAGTG